TTAGTCCGGAACAGCATACAGGATCTTGTTTTTATACATGGGAGCTGAGGTTTTTTTGTGACAGTGTTCCAGTAACCTTATCTGAGCAAGGATGTTTACAAAATTGCAAACTACTGTAACATTAAATTTTAAAAAAGCATCTCTGTTTTGAGAAGCTTCTTCAGGTGTAAACCAGAAGGTAAAATGCTAGCGTGGTTGTGCTGCCATATGCTGTTTATTATAGCATTGATTCTTATCTGGAAGGACATAGACTAAGAAGATGGTCTGTAAGAAGTAGAAACAGTTGAATTAAGGAAAACTGGAAAGAGCAAACAAAATAGACTTTTTATTAAGACAGAGGGTTGAGAACTGTTTTGCCAAATGCATTAAAGACCTGAAAGTCTTGCACATCAAAAGTAAGAAACTAGCCAATCAGTAGGGCTCAGAGAGAGACATATAAGGGCACCAGGGGGAACATAGATCATGTAGTCAGGCAATTGGAATTTTAAATTTTAGTAAGTGTTTAAATCCAGTCAGCAGAATGATACCTGTTATATACCTATGTATTGTGGTATATGCCAAAGAATTTCAGAGGAATTAGCCATGAGTATGGCTTGAACTCCAAAGGAGCTTTGATATCTAGACCTTTGCTATTGTCCCAAGCAGATTGAAACATTAAACCTTGTACTACCTTGCCAGTGCAAAGTAGAAAATATGAATCTGACTTCATATTAAAAAGCAGATGAGGGAAGGAAATGTAGATTAGTGATGAGTGATACTCTTCTGAGTCTTTCATAGGTGGTTAACAATTGTGACAGTGTTAATCGTTGGAAGAGATGCTCAGTGGGGCATCAAAGTGAGAGTACTTGTGTGTTGCCTCTTTTTTTGAGCTCACTGATGTGCTGGGGCTGCTGTGTGTGGTGGAGGTTGTGATGAGGATGGCTACTGTAAATTCATTTTTTTCACAGAAATGCCTAGATCTCTTGGAGTGGTTGGATGGGGCTGATACCATAAAAAACCAGAACTTCTTGCATGACCAAATATAAAGGAAGGGTCTAGTGCATGTTTTGATAAAGGTGGTTGTGTCTCACAGGTCTCATTTTCTTGAAGGATTCATTGTTAATCCATATTCCTCTGTTCAGTTTAATAACACAACTGCGGATTTTTTTTCAGAAGAATGTTCGAGATTCTTTTTGAAGACTTCGTAAAAACCAGACATTTACAAGTTTGCTGGGTTAGCTGCTTAGAAATAACCAAAGGAAAGAATAAATTATTTACTTTACATAAAGGAAAGTTACAAATAGAATTACTCACGACTCTTGCTCTATATGTTCATAAATACTTGAAGGGAAGAAATGAGTGAGAAAAGGATAGAAAGGATAATAGAAAAATAAAGCTGACTGCAGACAGACACAGTGGGAGTTCATTGTTCATTAGATTATAAAATTGCTGGTAAAATTAAATTCTAGTAAATATAGAATCATGATTGAAGAAAAATAATTCGGGCTGAATGCACACAGTGAGTGGGCTTTATGTTAGTGGTTTTGTTCAGAAGCTCTTTTCATTATGGTCTCTTCTAAAGAGCAGCTGTGTGCTCAGGTACCCTGAAGCAGCAGCAATATTCTGAAGTGTAGGGGCAGTAAAATGAGAAAACAGGTGTGTGTCCTGGACTAAATGGCAGAATTACGTGTTGACTCTGTGTGTGTTTCTGCCCACCTGTCAGAAAATGTGGTGCAATAGAAAACAAGCTGAAGAAGGTTAGCGGTGGTCAAACCTTGGACTTGTTCTTGGAAAACTGTTGGTGAATAGAGATAAATGGATTGAAGGCCTGAGAAGTCTTGTGTTTTGAGATGAACTGCGAGTAACAACTTTTTTTTTGCCCCAGGAAAAAACCATCAGATAAAACCATTACCAGGCAGCAGTTTAAAATAAACCACTCTTTATTCTGATACATATTTAATTAATTAATGCATATTTAATTAATTAATGGAATTCCATGAACAACAAAGGTGAAATTGACTAAAAGACCTGGAAAAATCTATATAATGAAGTTCTTTGAGCTAATATGTGTCATTATTTGGATTCACCCTGAAAATAAGCCAGACAAAATTACTGTAAGCTTGGAAGGATGGCTTCCCCTTCCCTTTTTTTGCCTTTTCTTGCTTTCTATATCTGCCTACTGCAGAGTGTTATAGCAGGAGAATAGGTAGTCTTTAGGTTGTCTCCATTGCTGTTGGGTATATTCAAGTATTTTATTCATTGGTCTTTTTGTCTTGGAAAGGTAGGGAAAAAGCATACTTTCTATAAACAAAACAAAATAAGAGCATATCAGCTTGTATTTTCTGTCTTGCTCTAGAATTTTGGAATCAAGCGGATTCATAAGCAAATTGAAATGTTAGTTAAATGTTCAGTTGTGGGTCCAGGCTCAGTTTAAGATAAGAGAAAGGGCAAACAGTAATTCATAATATTTATGCTTTTTGGAAGTATTTTTGAGTTTTGCTGCAAAAATCTCTTTGTCTGTGGAAAGGAAAACTAGCACTTAAAAATTAGGCATATTGTCTCTTGGAAGTTACCTCTTAGTAGGGGAGGTATCTAGTAAAATGAATTGCAAATGACTCAGATGAAGAGTTGAGTTCTACTAGAGAGGTATTAAATTTTCCTTTTGGAAGGCTAAGTATATAAACTATAGATTGATTTTTCGGTTTCGGGCAGCATTTGGATTTCACTACGATATTGACTAGATACATTTAATGAGTTAGAAATCTTTGAAATATGTCAACACCAAAAAAATATTTTGGAAAAATGTCACAGCAATAGTTACTTGCGTTTTTGTTTGGCATGGCTTGATGCTTTTTCATTTAAGGCAAACATGACATTTACCTGAAAACTCAAATTTGGCAGGAAGAGTTCTGTAGTAGTGGTAGATGTGAAACAAAAGGGCTTAATAGGTGTATAAGGTTCCACTGTCAGAACTCTTCTTGTAACATGGGTATAAAAATACTTTACTTGAGAATATATTTAATATTTCTCACTTTGAGTTCAGTTGGAAAGTCACTTTGTCTATGAATGAAGGGCTTGAGTGTCAAAAAGTAGATGTTTTTATGTCAAGAAATACTCAAATGTCCTCTTTATTGTCCTCTGCAAAAACTCACAAACGCCAGTGGCCTGTTTGCAGTCTGTGTACACTGCCACATACACAGAACTAACAAATGCTGGACAAGTAAACCTGCTTGAAGGCTGGTTGGTCTTGTGATGCTTCACATTTGCATCATTATGTAGTTTTTAAGTCTCAGCTTTGTTTTTTAAAGAAAATTGTTGTTAAGAATCAGGAATTGAATTTGGCCTTCACTGTTGAGCCAGTAAGAAATTCAGTAAATGTCTGTGTCGTAGTTTGGCATTTAGGGAAAGAAATGGGAAACACCCACAGAAGTGATTTCCCTGAGAGAGGCTGCTGGGAGTTTCTTCTGTGCTTGAGATCAGGCCAATAGCTGGCCAGTTCTGAGAACTGACAGCATTTTGCACCACTGAAAAGTGAGTTCAACTTTGTGAATAACACCTTTTAAAAACCCAAGCCTGGGAACTTCTCTCTTTCTTTCTGGCCTTGAAAGGTGGCAGACCCCTGGTGTGGCTGGCCCTGCTCCCCCATGGCCTATGCTGCCTGGTGTGGGGAGGCCTGGGCTGGACTCCAGCAGCTTTCGGGCAGGGGATGGAGACTGTGGGGCATTCCCTGGGCCGGGCTTTGCTGTGGCCCCTTCTGGGAAGCCCTCTGTGTCACATTCCCTTCTGGGAAGCTGTTCCCAGAGGGGCCCCTGGCCCAGGCTGGGCCAAGCCATGGCTGCTAACATCTCGCTGACACCCCTCCTCGCCACTCTTGGCCTGCACAGATGGTTCCAGGCCGAGGACCATTTGCTCCCTCCCAGCAGCTGCGCAGCTGAGAGAAAGCACCAGCTCGGCCTCAGATCTGACACCATGACTGCCTGCATGTGATTTAACCCTTTTGCTACACAGATAAGACCTGCAGACTTTAATCCCCTCTCCAGAGAGAAGAAGTCAGAGCGATCAACACGTAGGGAGAGAACATGAAATATCAAGGTCAGTAAAAGAAGGAGTCAAGCCTCAGATGGAAGAAGAATGAGGAGATGCTCTAATAGGCTGAAATATTCTTTTGGTAGGGCCATGGAGATGGACAATAATGTTCTGAAAAACTCCTTTAATTCATGAAAGAATATTGGGAGAATGAAGTATTCAGGCTGTAGATCTGAGCAAAGGTATCCGTTGATGAAGCTAAGCAGATGATGGAGTCACTGTGATCCCATGAGATGCTTGAACAGAGAGAGAGAGAGAGATGCGAGAGCTGATGAAGACCCTGTGTCCTAGGGGGAGAAGAAGAAAACCTGTGTTCCTAGAGATGATCACAGAGATAGATGGAGAGAACCTTTGCCTTTGAATAACTCATCCTTAAAATAATACCCTATGAGTTCATGGCCCATGAACACACTTCTTCAGAGTGTTGTGAAAATGGGAGGACAGCATGATGGCAGAGTTTGTGCCTGGGCGGCTGCCAGTCATAGAAATGAAAAGCCATGAGAAAACTTTCTCATGGAGAGCTCTCCATGGAATGACAAGAGAAAACGCCTTTCCCTGCAAAGATTGATGAAAAGACTATTGTATAGTTGGTACTGCTTTAACATCTTTTGTCTCCATGGTGTCAGTTGGAAAGGAAAAAGGTTGGGTGGGGGGAGAAAAGGTTTCTTATTTTTGTAGTCTTGTTTCTTTATTCTTTTTAAGTTTTAAGCCTGTTTTGCCCTTCTCCTAATCCATATCTCACAGCAAGAAATGAGTAAGTACTCTGGTAATTTTAGTTAGTGCTAAAACCTGCCACAGTCTACTAGAGTTAGTGTTCTGAGCTCTTACGTTAAAGGATGATATTAAATAAAGCCTATGGCCTGTTTCTTATAAAATTTATTGTAATAGTTAAATAGTTCAATTGTCACTTTAACTGAACCTGCTTTCTCCATTAGACTACATGAAGAAATCATTGACTTCTATGACTTCATGTCCCCTCGTCCTGAAGAAGCAGCTATGAGAAGAGAAGTGGTAAAAAGGATAGAAACAGTCATCAAAGATCTTTGGCCTACCGCTGATGTGAGTGTAGCTTCAGCTGTGATTTGCTTCTCTAGTAAATTGTAGAGCTTGGTTTACTTAACCTTGCTATTATCTTTCTTTCTTTTAGAAATGAACAGGTAACTCTTCAAGTTTAAGGCAATTGACCTACTGTCACAATTCTTGCAGTATTTGGAAATTTATTTTAAAAGAAATTTCAAACCTGGATTTTGGGTTAATGAATTCTACTGAATGTGTTTTTCATTTTGAGAGCTGGGAATGTGAATAAATGTCCACTCTTAGTAGTGCATTTCCTAAAGTAAAAGCTTATTAAATTGTCTCTGTATATTTTAATTTTGAATATTAAAGTGAGACTGACTACCTATGTATCCATTTCTGCAAGGGTCCTGAATATGTGGATATTTTTAAATAAAAAAAAAATGAAAGAGCAATTAAATGCAGATGGGTTTTCTTTTTGTACTCTTCATGAATTTAACATTCAAGGAATTACTTCAGCCCTACTGTAGTGGGAAAATTTAACTTCCTGAGATATGTTGCAATCTCAGCTGGTGTAATTTCAAACACTTAGTTATTCAATGCTTATTCAAAAAAGCATTATTCAAAAAGAATGTATTCTGAACTGTATTTCTAGCATCAGCTTTGATTGCCAGATGGTAGCATTGTTGTTAACAACCAAAATGTTGTGATTTCATCGCCTTCCATGGCAGACATTGAGGGCTCCGGTCACAGCACTGAGCTAAAAATACTGTAAAACTTCTCTGCTTCATCCTTACCCATGTTTTTCCTTCATAGTGAGATTTTACTACCTGGTGGAAATCAAAAAAAAAACCACTGAAAAGGACTTGTGTTGCCCAGGAAAAAACTAAGTGAGCTTGTAAATTGGGCTCTACTCTATTGGAGAGGGAAGAACATCTCAATTCTTTAGATAGGCAGCTTGCTGAAAGTATTTGATGTGGTCTGTGGATTTATCTTCATTGTGGCTGCTTTTTCACATACAAACACCTGCTACTACTTCATAGTTGTTCTTAACAGTAAAATCTGAAGTATTTATTTTGATCTGAATGATATATTTAGATGTACTTGCTGGTTTTTAAACCTAAAATTTTGGAAAAATTTTCCTTGAACTCTTCCAATTTCAGTAAAGCTGTCCTGTAAGGAAAGGAGGGAACAGGATGGAAGGAAATGAATAAAAGCTTGTATGTCTGTCAAACTGGAAATAAATAATTAAAAGAACTTGCTTAAATTTATTCTCTGCTAGCTGGATTGGTATTTATTTCATAGTAAAGAAGCCAAATTTCCTCTAAAGTTGCATCTGTAAGAAAATGTGTGTTTGTACAGAGAGTATATAGTAAAGTAACTTTCTTACTTGGCTATATCCTTAACAACTGGAGAAACATATGAAGTTTTGTGAAAGTAAAAGGAAGTGAGCATTCATAATTGCAAGATGTTTTCCTGCTGTGTTCTTTTCAGGTCCAGATTTTTGGCAGCTTTAGTACAGGGCTTTATCTTCCAACTAGGTAAGTAATAGTTTACTCTTGTCTTTTAGAGAAAGGGAGATTTCAAAGAAGTTTAGAATGTGCAACTGTGTCAAATTTTCAGTAAAACTTTTATCTAATATTTCATGTGGCAAAGGGAAAGAACTTTTGAACTTGAAGATTTGCAAGTATTTGATGTATCATCTTACTGCTCTGCTTATTAACCCTTTGGTGAATTACCTTTTTTTCCTTGTGTCTGGGGTTAGTCTTTGGCTTTTTTTTAAATAGACAGTGGAACTGAATGTTTAGCATTTCCTTTGTAAAGATTGTGTTTTATTAAATAAGAAGAATTACTGAGAATGTGTCACTTATCACAGTGTTACTGTGCAAAGTCAAAGGAGCCATCACAGTGCTGTATTCCCATCTTTTTGGAGAGGAAAATGTCTTACTTAATTTGGCATTTTATATCACTTAATGATTCAATTAGATGCGGAAACCTGTGTAGCTCTGCCTTAAAGGTGATGTTATCTTTACATCAAGTAAGTTTTCAGAAGAAAAGCACTGGAAATTTAGTTTCTATGAATACCAATCACTGATAAAGTTCCTTGAATTATTATAATGCCTGTCAACATGAGTAGATAGATGAGGAATGGAATTGGACTGTGGAAGTCAGAGGGGAGGAAGCGTGAAAGGTAGAAGGGAAAAGAACACTTAAGAACTCACCAGAGTAATGGAAGCAAGAAATTAGACTACTGCTTTGGGCCCTAAAACACTTATGGACTCTTTCTTAACGTTCCTAGAAGGAGCCTATTGGGAACCTACATTGCAAATTGCAAAATGATCACCTTTTATGACTTGCAAAATGTAGAATGCCAATCTTACCTTATTTTTTGGTAATGTATTGTGCTTTAGACTTAATGGATTTCATGCTGTGTTCTTTTTGTCTAGTGATATTGATCTAGTTGTTTTTGGGAAGTGGGAACGACCTCCTTTACAGCTTTTGGAGCAAGCACTGAGAAAACACAATGTGGCTGAGCCATATTCCATTAAAGTACTTGACAAAGCTACGGTAAGTAGGTAGTAAGCTTTGGAATACTGAACTGAAAAAGTTTCAGACCCCTTCAGATGTTGGTAATAAATAGTATTCGTAATTCCTGAAGCAAATGATACTGTGTTAAGCTCTCTGCAAGGTGTCAGTAGAATCTGTAGGTGCTTAGCAATAGCATGGAGTCTTTTACATGTGTATCGGTAATCCTGTGTACTGTTTGCCAAAGGCCATACTTTATTCCTATGTTGTCAATAAATATCTGAAAGTCAGTGTTTGTAAAATATCCAGTAAAATAAGTTAACTATTTGCATAATGTTTTTCCACTGACCTTTGAGAGGAATTTACTGAGCCAGTAACTAGAGCTCTCTAGCTCTCAACACTGTTTTCACATTGTCTTGTTTCTGATGGCATCATGAAGCGTTCCAAACCTAACATTGAGTTTCATGTCCAAAATAGCTGTTTAAATGAGAGCTTTGTCATTTATGTGACTGATGTGTGTTATGTCTTGAATCTTTCTTGTAAGCCTGAATCATGTTGAATATGTTAAAAACTTAATGCATGAAAATTTTATATTACTGAGCAAGATATGTTTTCTTCATGGGACTAAGGTGAGTATTCATTCCAAATTTCTATCAGCAAGCTTCTTTTTGTGGTCTCTAAAACAGTCTTCCTCTTTTAGGTTCATAATATTCCTGTGGCTTTCATTAGAGTAGCAGTGCATAACAGTAGCCTTGGTAGTCTTTGGTTTACCTGAGAGCTGATGGGATATTCAGAATCTGTATTACCAGTTAGTGATGGAAAATGGCACTAGGCTAGGCTTACAATTTTACTATCCCTTCTTATTCTTTTTCTTCTGATGTTGTATAAAATTATGCTACACTTTTTTTGTTTTCCATTTCAGATTAAAAATATGAGGAGTTAAATTTATTTTAAATTTATCAGCTGAAGTTTAGGTTATGATTGTGAGATGATTTTGTAGGCCACTGCTTTCCAGGTGGTGGTGTGAAGCTAAACTACATATTCAGTTATTTAATGTTAATTCATTCCTGCCATATTTCTATGGTTGCTTTGCTTTATCTCTTCTGGCTTTCATTTGACTCTGCATTGAACCAGTTCATCTTGATAAACCAAAAGGCATTACTTCCTGCTAGTCCGGTTTTCTGTCAGTTCAGTAAGTGAATGGTGCAGTGCTGGGTCAGAGGAATGCAGTTCCCACAGGTTATGAGATTAGGAGATCTTCTATTAACTGGAATGAGTCATTAAAATAAGTAAATTGAGTGGTCATATAAAACACTGCTATTGCAGCTATGAAGGCAGATAGCTAATGGTTATGGGAGAGTACCAGAGTGATGATAAGTTAATGTGGTTGCACATTAATCATCTCCCTAGAAAGCATTCATGTGTCAGTCAGGTTAGAATTGTTACCTCCTCTCAGACAGACTTGATAGTTGCATTCATTTGGACTGTTAGCATCCATGTGTCTTGAATAAGCTAGGGCACAGCACCAGTGTTGTGTTTCTGGGGATTCACATGCTTGTATTTATCTTTTCAGGTACCAATAATAAAACTCACTGACCTGGAGACAGAAGTGAAAGTTGACATCAGTTTTAATGTAGAAACTGGTGTGAAGGCAGCTCGATTTATCAAGGAATACATGAAGGTATCAGCTATGTATTGAATGTAATTCTACTTACCAAGGATGTGCTAGATGCTTAGCTAACTTTTTTTGGTATGGCTTGACAATTTACTGCTGAAGACTATTCTCATTAATGTGAATTAAACAGAAATATATTAATTTATTATCTTTTGGTGTCCATTCAGTGTTCCCTTCGAGTGCTGGGTGTTGGACTGAATAAACCTGTACACTGTGAGAGGATTTCACAGTCATATTTAGATTTGCAGATAGGTGCTAACCTTTGCTTCTGTAGCAAGTCTATGTGCAAATTTTGCTTACCTTGTGTATAAGTGATGCTACATTATGAATACTGTCTTACTAAACTGTCAAGAAGCAATTGTGTAGATAAACATTTAAGTTTCCTTTTATGCTCTGTAGTAAAGGTATTATTTAGAGCAAGAGCTTTGATTGTAGTGGCAGTGACATTCAAAGAAGGATATAAAAATCTTACTGTTTAGGTGGGAAATAAGTTTAATATGTAAGGTCTTCAATAAAATAAGAATTGGAGCTATTCATCTGTTTCTAGAATAAAAAAAAAAAACATGTTTCAGTTTTTCCCATGGAAACACTGTGTACAGCACAACACTGGAAATATTTTTGTATTGGATAACTCTTTGTTTTCTGAGATTTACTTTTAAGAAGTGTACTTCTTTATTTGTTTTGGAATGTTGACATTGACGTTGATAAGACTTATTTTGCTTTGCAGAAATATTCTTTGCTACCTTACTTAATTTTAGTACTAAAACAGTTCCTCCTTCAGAGGGATTTGAATGAAGTTTTTACTGGTGGAATTAGCTCTTACAGCCTAATTTTAATGGCAATTAGTTTCCTGCAGGTAAGTCTGTTGCTTATTTGTTTCTATGTTCTTCAAAATGTTTTGGGTTCTGTACCTATGCCCTTTTATTGTAATCTTTCTTCAGATGCCCCTTGCAATGCACACCATTACTGTTATGAGTGTTTGATGCTTGAAAGATCCTGTGGACTACCTCTCAAACATCCAGGATCTATCATGTGTGAACTGGAGCAGCAGCAGGACCCTTGTAAAAGGCTTAGAGGCTGTGCGTACACCAGGGCCTGTACCTGAATCACCTTAGTGGTGCTTATTAAATCTGCAGGATGGATTTTCTTTTGCCTCCCAGACTACTGGTACTGAATGTGCAAAGTAGTTGATTTCAGTGTTTATTGAAGTGATGAAATCCAAGAGTCAAGTTGGTTTTTTTACTTACATGTTAGGTTTTGACGTGCTTAAGACTGGCAGATGCTGTACTTGACTGATGAAATTGCCAAGTTACAATGTTACAAATAAGTTACAACTTCTGTTAATCAATTTCTGTGATAGTGAGCCTCCTACAGGTATGATGAGGTATGGTGTTAGCATTTCTCAGCAGCTATGGTAATGGAAAAGTTATATATTCTGCTGCTGCTGGTGTTGACTGAAATATTACTGTAGGTTTTGTATACCAAATATAATAAGTGGAGCTACAGACATAAACTGTAGTTCAGCTGGGGCAACTAGATTGCCCCCCACTTTCTGAAAACATTGAGGGATGGATTGTCTTTTGAAAATCAGGTACTACTTCATTACTAACTAGGCTATAATTTTGTATGCAGTACTTCTTTCTTGCTTTTGACTTCAGGAAAAGAATTCCCTAATCCTCAAAAAGCTGCATGAGGAAAGATGAAAGAATTCTTTGGCTTCCAGATACTGCTGAATTGGTGCCCCCTTTCGGTTATCTGAGAGTGGTTTAAGTACATGAAGAGTGAATGGCTCAGTTGAGACTTACGTGAAGAAATACTCAGCTGTTTAAATGCGAGCTTTTTGTTTTCCTGTGTTATGGTCTGAAAAATATTAATTTTTAATAAGCAAAAACTGGTTTGTGTTACAGCTACATCCAAGAATTGATGCAAGAAGAGCTGATGAAAACCTTGGAATGCTTCTAATAGAATTTTTTGAACTCTATGGAAGGAATTTTAACTACTTGAAAACTGGTATTAGAATAAAAAATGGAGGTGCCTATATTGCCAAAGAAGAAATCATGAAAGTCATGACTAATGGATACAGACCATCTATGCTATGTATTGAAGATCCTCTCCTGCCTGGTAGGACTATACACTTCTTGCAATATTCCAGAGCTGTGCTCTCAGCTTGTGCTCGTCTGTCAGACGAATTAAGAAGCTGCACTGGGAAGAGACTATTACTGGTGTAGAGGTACAGTCAGGTTGGAGGACCAAGGGATATAGACCTCCCCCAAGAGTCTTAGCTTGAGTAAATTGGATTATATGTAAACAGTGCAGTTGCATAATGCTTTGGAGATCCAGAACTGTGTTTAATTTATTAATAAGATTCTCTGACAGTGCTGAGAGGTAGTGAAAGAAAGAATTTCAGGAAATCCTGGAAGGGGGGATGTTAGCAGAACAATTATCTATTATTTGCTATGAGAATGAGATTGGAAGGTAGCTTTTTCTGCCACAGTCTGTGGTGCCATACTTCAGATAAATCACACCATATGGGAAAAAAATACCCCAGAAGCATAACCTGTCCTGCAGGGTGGTGCCACAGACTGTTCAGGAGCAGGGGTGGGTATCTGTAAAAACCAGCTGTGTTGTGGTGGTGGCGTGGAAAGCGCTTTGCATAACTGGCTTCTGTGCTGAACAGGGATCTTTAGGGAATGCCAGAGTTTGAGTTACATCTTCTTTTGAAAGTACTTAACATAAAATGATTATTTTTTAAAATTTGGTTTTAATTCAGTAACCCTCAAATAATTGAGCTTAATTTTGGCTAAGTGCCTTGGGAAAATTTCCAACTTTATAGTAGTCAGTTTGTGTTCTATTTAGACCATCACAAGTAGCTGAAATTCCAATTTTCAGTTAATTTGGACTTCAGCACAAGTATTTCTAGAATGTAATTGGCAAAGTCCATACTGTCACATCTTGTATGTAGATTGCTTATTTACAGCACTTTTAAAGCAAATACCATGGATCAGGAACTGAAGTCTGGCACTTTTCTAAACACTCAATATGCTGAGTGTTCATACTTCCCTAGAACAGGTTACAGGTTGTAATACTCATTTGTCTTACCATGTTTCTGATTTGTTTGTAACTCTGAGTTTGTGTCCATCATGACTCTTGTACTTGGCCAGGCATAGGTTAGGGTGTGATTGTGCAGAGCTGTCATTGTCATTGAGATTTCCTTTAAGGAGCTGTGTACTTACTTGTCTGAAGACCCATTTGAATAGCAGCATGAACCACAATTATTTAGAGTCAAAAATCTTCACTGCCCTCCAGTTCTGTTCACTTCTATCTGCTGGGGATGGAAGGAGAGCAAACTGTGAGTACTATGCAATGTTTTAATCACTGCTGATAGTACTCTGGAGAAGAAAAAAACCTTTTAAGTTGAATAGGTGCCCTGAACTGTTCTTCCAAGCATTAATCTTGCAGAAACAAAGAATGGTAGTTTAGAAGAAAGAATAGCTATAAGCTGTCAAAGAGTTAACAAAAATGAAATTCTAGAGGAGTTTGTATGGTGTGAGATAATATAATTCTTACAGGAGAGAATATTTTAACAAGGATAATGAAAGCTGACAATATTTTGAAGTTATCTGACCACTATGTGTCATAAGGATATTTTTTAGTAGGTACCACAGACCTTCAGAACTTACCAGATGAAGCTAGGAGAAAAATTACACAGAACATAGGATGGCTTTTTGAATCAGATCTGATAAGTACAGCCTTCTTAGATCCAGTCTTAATCACATATTCCTACAGTATCTAAAATTGCCTGTCAAGTATTTGTCAATATTGTCTAGAATTCTGTTAATTAGTTTAGTTTTGTTATTCCTTCTAACCCAGTACAAAAATCTTCACCAAGGGTTCAAGTCCTTGCTCAGTTTACAAGTCATCTCTGATTAGTTTGTGATGAGATCCACTCAGTGTCTGACTCTAAGGGTTGGTGGCAGTATTGTGAAGGAGACGGGAATGTGTTATTTTGATAGAGTGGACACAGATATCTCGACTTAAATTAGCATAAGCTGCTGCAGAATTTTACCCCTGCAAGTCAGTGTTTGCACTGTATGCACAAGTTTTTAATTTCATTTTTCAATCCTTCTTTTTTTTTTTTTTTTTTTTTTTGTCTGATCACAGCTGTTTCTAAAGCTCCTATTAAGCCTTGGAAGAATACTTCAAAAGATGGCTTAATCCCAGAATGAGACAAAAAATACAGGGATAAAAAAATCTCTCCCTTTTTACTTCTCAAAGATTATCAAAGTAGTGCAAAAGTCGCTTCTGTGAGTGTATGCACTAGTGCAGCAATGGGAGACTGAAGATAGCTGTCTGCTAGGGTGGTCAGGGGCCACCTTTGGAATGAAAAATGTAAAGCCCCTCCCTCCAACTTATTATAATTTTGAAATCAAGGGTCTTTCAGGCAAAGATATAGGGATAAGAATAACAGTTATTTACTTTTCGGTTCTTTTTAGTATGGTGACAAGGCAAACAAGCAATAGCAATGGCATTAATAACAAAACAGAACCAAGGACTCCGTGACAGCTTTCTTGGCTGAGATGGGAAAAGATGGAGGCAAGGCTTTGCTTCACAAACCCCCTGTGGGCACTCAATGCTCCTGCTGGATCCTGCTGAAACACTCAGCTGGAATGGCAAAAATGTGTAGAAATCCCGGGCTGGTGGACGAGGTGTATTAAGCTCCACAGCGGTGGCTGGCACAGCAGCACGTCGTGGTGGGACAGGGGGTGTGGGGCCCTACAGATGAAGAAGAGAAGGAGAAACTCTGTCTGGGTCATAGCAAATGCTTTTTTCCTTAGTAACTACAGCTTCATGTGTGTCTTTCTCTCAAGCTGAAGAAATAAGCCCACTCCCTGCTGCCTCTACCTTCTCTTTCACCTGCCCCCTTCCCCTGGGTTTAACCAAACTCTTTGTCTTTTGTCGCTCTATTGGGAACGGCGAGAAGAATGACACAGATTCTCTTGTGGAGTCGAACTGGAGAATTTTTCCCAGTTTATTGCCTCAGATCTTTTTTTATAGACCAATACGTGAAAGTACAGAAAGGAAAATTCTCATTGGTTAGTAAACTAACACATCACTATCATTGGTCAGTGGGGTTCACCACCCCTCGACCTTCTCTTGCAATAAAATAAGGAACAGACAAACAGCACCTGCAAGGCTGTTTTCTATCTCTGGGGATTGTTTTAATTCTTATGATTTCTCAGGCCACTTTCTCAGGCAAGACTGGGAAAGTTATGTGGCCTGCTATTCCACAGGCACTGTGCTCCCTGCTTCACAGTTAGCATCCATAGTCTTTCTCAAGCATCTAAAAAGTACCTGCAGTCAGGTTTCCCTGCAACTAATGGGAAAAATTTTATAGGTAAGAAGGAACAAAAGGAAGGACACTTAACTCCCAACAAGGGTGTAAAATTCAAAAGAGTAGCTTTAAAGTGGTCTTGTAGGGAACAGGAATGTGTTTAGTGGGATTAGTTTCTTTAAGTTGGAGGAACTGTTGTTTATTCAGCATGAAATGGTGGGTGGTATTTGGCTAAGAGATAAAAGGTGTCATCAGAAGGATGTCATACATCATTTTACCTGCTCATTACCTTCTGTTAGCTCCTGGATTTGGGAGGAAGAAGCATTAAACTATTGAGTTGTTTTGGTTGTAGTGGGTTTTCTTAGATTCTTCTAGGTACTGCAGTTTCCTCAGAGATTCTCAGAGACTGATCATTGTGTGCTAGAAGATGATAATTTCTGTGGTTTAAGAACCAGGATTCCAACAAAGATGTCAGAAGTCTACACTTCAAGTGGGAAGGTTATTGAGGTCTGGATTTGAGTTGTCAGACTAAGATAGCGGTGATGCATTTTGAAGTAATCATTTATACTTGATCTTCATACGTAGTCTAAGATCTTTCATTTTGGGTTAGTGTCGTAGGACAGGGTGATGAGCTGAAAATCATTTCCTACGCATTGTCTAAAGGAGGGCGTTTCCATAAGCATCTTGTAGCTTCACCGTTTCAGTTTTTTTAAGCACTTGTCCTTTTTGTAAAATATGTAAAAGGTAAAAGCATTTATTAAGGAGAACTGCAAAGTCAAGCACTCAGAAGTTTGTTTACAGGAATATGTTGGAGCAGGGTAGATGATATCATCTTAGAAGAGGTTTGTCCAGAGTTGGTCTAACAGTATCCTATCTTGGAAGACTTAACTGTTTGCAGTTGACAAATCTTTTGCTCTGTGGTTATAAAACAAATTTGGTGCTTATCCACCAGACTGTTGGGGGGCTTGTTATTTTATACCTGTGTGTGAATCAAGGTCCTCCAGTCATTTCTGATGCTCAGAATAGGAATAATTTTGATCTAGTTTCATACTGCCAGTGGCTAGAGTAACTAAATTGCTACTCTTTAACACCAAGTTTGAAACTGGGAGTTCTACCTGTGCTACTCCATTCATGAGAAAGTTTGTTCTTCATTCTGAATTGCTGTGGCCATCAATGAAAGTTCTAAAACTTAAATTCAATGTGTTTTCTTTGAAAAGAATCTTTAACTTGCAGGATTTATTATTCTTTGTGTTGCTTGCTTCCACACCTTGACAGGTCACAAGTACAGGAAGTAAATACATTTGAGATTGGCAACATCTATGAGATTCTCTTCTAGCCTTAGTGGCTGCCCAAACTTATTCATTGCAGCTTTTCAGTATCAGCTATTGGTTATTAGATCCTGCATATACATTTGTTCACATGTGTGTGTATAAAGCATAAGTGAAGTTAGCATTTGAAAGAATCTTTGTAATGCTGAATGTTGCAAAAAGCTGTTTACTAGCTAATAGCTTAACACAAGTGGGTTTGCTTCAGTCCTAGCTCATGGTCTTACCTTTTGCCCTTTCAGGCCATGTTCTTAAAACTGCTTCAGGTAAAGGAAGGCTACCTAATGGAGTGGTAATACTGATAGCAAGTGATGGAAATTTTGGACATGCTCCTTTAGGGATGAAGGCTTTGTAAGAAAGAATAAGGATTGAATTATACGTGAAGTCAGACACCATTGTTATCTCCTAATGTACATCTGAGGATTGAAGTATGTATGATTTTTTTTAGAGTGACAGCATTTGCATTGCGTGCTTTAACTGATCAGTCTAGATTGTAACAAAAGAGGGATACTCAGTTATGTAAGACATGGCTCTCTAATGAGAGTGATCTCTCAGAAGAAAATCTATTCAGGGCAGGAAATGCAAACGTGTGATCTTCTATCTTCTTTAATATGTTGCTTTCTGGATTGGCTAGGGTCATCTTTATACAGACTTGGCAGATGAAGTTCTCAGTAGCTCTAGGTGCAGCCCAAGTAAAGAGCTCTGTACTGTATTATTAAGACCTGTTAATTTAGACATCTCTATGAACTAATTACAGGTGCAGGATGAGGCAATCCAGGAACCTAAGCATGGTATGGCACGAGCTATTCTGCCTCTGTTCTCAAGTCTGCTTCAATCAAGACTTAAACACAACTTCATTGATTTATATTAAACTGCCCAAATTTACTATAAGTGGTTTAGGGAAGGTTTATGATTTCTTTTGCTGGCACAACAGTAGTGACAACTGATGAAAGGAATAGCCAATATTTTGTGGCAGCTCTGTCTTCATTTTGGTATAACTTTATGCAGGATACATCTCAAATATACCTGCCTAGCATTATGTTAGACTAAACTAATACAGATTCTTTGAGTGTGTATTCTAAATTTGTGTTATATGAATTTATAGAATGATTTAGGTTGGAAAAGAGCCCTAACATCAAGTCCCACCATAGAGGGACTTGAATTTAGTGGTAAGTAATACATGTGCTTAGCTGCTTGTCTGTATTCCATTTCTGTATTGCTTCTCAATTTAATTCTCTTACATATCTATGTTTAGAATATCATTATGTAGCTAGACACAAATGTCCTGCCTCTGAAAATCCCATACTGAATTAATCATTACTTTTCTTGTAGAAAAGTGTTCTGATTTCATGACCACTAGAATATTGTAGTCACTTTTCAGCCACCTTTGGATTAAGTCCTTCATGAAGTCCTCTGTGAAGAACATTACCATGTGTTTCCGCCTAGATTCACTGTCCTAGGCCCACACTGATCGCTGCTTTTACTTCAGAATAGAGTCCAGTAGCTAATAAACCATTTGGAGAGGCTTCTGTAACTTTAAGCCTAGTGGTTGCTGGATTCAAAGTGGTGCATTCAGATTAAGATACTCAGTTAGGTCAGTAAAGAGAAAGTATTTCTTGATCAGTTTTTATTTGACCATGTGAATTACTGGAAAAAATCTGTTTTCCCAAATGCTTTTATGTTTTCAGTTAGTTTTCATTGATTATGCTTTTCTGTTAGAGTGGCATTATTGTTGGAGAATTTTGAAAGGCATGTGTTTTTTTCCCCTGGATGGCAGATCTCAGCATATTTGTCTATAGTGGCTTGCTGGACAAAACACTCAGAGGAGTGAAGTGTTCCTCTTCACTTGGATTCAGCCTTGTTTGATTCAGTCCTCCAAAGGATGAATTCTGTCCTTGATCCATCAATTTTTCAAAGCAGAATTTTCATTGATTTCTTTTATTCATGGCCCCTGATCTGATTTTCATATTTGGCGGTTCATCCCTTTCTAGTGTTCTCACAGCATTTCACACATCATTCTGAAGGAGGGAACCTTTCACTGTAAGCAGTTTTCTACCCAGTCAAGACCTAGTCCATATTTTATGCAATTTGAAAGCAGTTTTATTTATGTTTCTTAAATTGAGTACTAACAGTGAATTTTGATGTCTGGTGCCAAATACATCCACAGAAAGCCCTGAAATGCTTTCTGCTAGTTGCAGCAAGATTGTTCTAGGTATCAGATGGGAGATTTATTCTTCTGCATTGCCACTGATACAGAAGATGTACAATGTTCTTAACTTCTGCAGTTCCTCACATGGCAATAGATTTGGAAAGAGTTCCAGTTAAATGTCACTCATTTAACTGGAGTGAGTAAACTGCCCTCTTAAGTAGGGCAGTTGAGAGTTCCACAAACGATCAAGAAACAGTACTATAAAAGTTTCTGGAATCTTCTGTGACAGATTTTTGAAAAACTGGTTTATCCTGTGGAGATAAATATCTGTATATGCTGGTTTATTAATCTGTAGTTTTGATAAGGTTAAATAGATTTGATGTGAGTCTGTCTGACCTAATGAAGGTAATGTGGTTACACAAGTGAAATTGTAAACTGAATTTGGCCTGCAGGAACTCTACTGGTAAGTGAGATGTGATGCTTTAAGCTTGGTAGATTCCCTCTTGAAGACCACTCTAAGAGCTTTAAGCTGATCCCTATGTTCTGTTTCTTTCAAGCACTGTATGTGAGTATTTTAAAAGTGGTGAATGGAATGCATAATGTTAAGTGTCATTCCTAAGGTCAACTTCTTTTGTTGAAATAGGCAGACTTAGGTGTTCCTGATGTGACTAGGATGGGATAACTGGTTTAAACAGAATTAAGCTGTATTGTTAAGGCTTCTGAGCTTTACGTATGTGTAATGTTTTGGTAACTGATACTAAAAAAAGATGATCTGATGCCTGTCACATTATTTCAGGAAACGACGTTGGCAGAAGTTCTTACGGTGCCATGCAAGTGAAACAAGTTTTTGATTATGCCTACATTGTTCTTAGCCATGCAGTATCACCACTTGCAAGATCATATCCAAATAGAGACTCTGAGAGGTAATTAGTTCACTTTTTCAATACCCATTTGTCTGTGTAATCAGTTAGGAATGTTTAGGTCTAGATTCATAAAAAGAATGTTCTTATTTATTGTTTAACTGTGCTTGTATTGAAATCTGCACAGCAATTTGAGCTGCTCAGGGGTATGAGAGTGCAATGCCTCATTGTGCAGCATTGAAATGGAGAAAGCATGATAAAACCCAGGATGAGTCCATTGTGGCATTCTGATAGTGTGGAAGGGAGCCAGAAGATAATTGGTCTTTCCTGAAACATTCTGCTTGAATGAGGACCAAACCCTCAAAAGAGGATTTGCTGGTTTAATGTTTACTATGATGCATGTCTGTATTGTGGCAGAAGGAAATGTGTGTGATCAAATAGCTTGTTTAGAGACAATTAGAAAACGAAACAGCAAAGCTAAGAATTTCCCTGGTTCTTTAATACATAAGTTATTTTAAAAGACTTGATATGTATTTAAGAATTTAAAAAAATGATTAAAAGTACTATATTAAAAAAACTAATAGAATCAGTCTGGTTTGATGATAATGCCAGAACTGCTATTAAAAGTAGCATACTTCTAGACATGCCATTCTTAATGCAGTTCTTATCGTCTTTCATAGAAACACAAGCAGTCGTTTGAGCTCTCACCTTTGCATTTTCTATATTTTGAAAGACAGGAGAAAGACAGTGAAGGCATGGGAGCCATGTGGTATTTCCATTCATGCATCTGGTCTAGCACCTTTTGTTCTAACCCTCAGTGTGAATTTGGGCTAGATCAGTGGATGTCTCTTCCCAGAGACTTCCCTAAAATCCCAATGGCTTTGAGCTCCCCAGCTAATCACTGAGAAGGACAGCTGTAAGATGTCACTTAAACATCTCAGTACAACTGCAAACTCTAGTCATGATGTAAACTTCCAGCATTAATGTAATTGGAAGGTGAAATAGTTTCCTCTAGTAAGTTTACATCAAAGTGGATGCAGTCTTTCACTTGTGAGTTTAAAACTGACAGTACTTTAAGGGTGCCTGTAAATCCTTTAGGTTTTCAGTGGTATTAAATTCACAAAGGTTAAGATTGCACTGTGATGGAGGTACAGAAGGAGTGGTACAGAGTTTCACACTGACATTTGAGACTGCTGTATTAAGATACTAAAGGTCACTGTTAAATGTGTATTGGCTGACAGTTCTTGGTAGTGAATGAAACTTTGTTCTTAACTAAGTACAGATAGAGTAACCTAGGGATTCCTGAAGTTTTGGTTGTCTTGGGTCCTGGCCTCCATTAACTTCTGTTTTTCTGTGAAGGATATAGTCATTATTTTATGAGGTCTCTGTATTTACTACAGCCATTAAAAAGTATATTTGTACAGCATCTAATGGGAGCCTCAGGTGTCATCAGTATGTGCACTGTGCATAGACTTGCACTTGTTACTGTATCTGGGAAGTGTATGAATTTTGTTCACAACTGCAAACCTGTGGAGCAGTCCCAGCAGCAGTGTTTAGGTGTCATGTCTGACCTGTCTGTGCATTCTGGGCTCTCTGTACCAGTGACATCTGAATCACAGAACCCATCATGCTACTGACTTGAAAGTGGAACAGCATTCAGCAAAGTTCTGTATACAAATGGCCCCCCTAGCACCAGTCTTGTCAGTGACAAAGGACTTGTAAGTGGATGATGAGCTGTCAGGTAACAAGTTCATTGCAGAAATCAACAGTCCATGTTTGGTCTCAGTTAAACCTGATGTGCTTGGATAATCCAGGTATGTTTGTGGGTCCCTCTTCCTGCTGTAAGGCAGAGTGGTCTATGCTCTGTATAAAGACCTCTCTGGTGGCCTGACCTAAAGCCTGGCTGGCCATCTGGGAGCCCTTTGTTTTAATTAATTTTTTTTCCTTTCCTAGACTTGTTAGCAGGTAGGTTAAACTATAGCATAACTGTAACTATAAGCAATGGGCTTCATTTAAGACCAGGGACTGGCTTCTAGTAGAACATAGCATTCTACTAGAGGGTTTGAGACTAAATGAAGAGTACTTAAAAGGATAGGAGAAGTTGCAGGAGGCTGAACTCCACAGGCTGAGTTTATTCAGTTTTGTCTTAGTTGGGGCTAGCTTTATCCTAAGTGGGATGGTTCTTGAACTGTCTGATGGGTTTGAATTCATATTTACTCTTCTCAGGAAAGGTTTCAGTGTACAGAGTTCTCTTTTGTACATGACACTTAGTAGATTTCACATCTTTCTTGGTAATTGTTGCAGTTCTTTTTCAGGGTCAGTCCAATGCAGAGATATGTCTATATTAATTTAAGGCTTTCTAGGGAGCTGCTGCTTCTGATAGTCCCTATAGGAAAAAAAAAAAAAAGAAGTCAGATTGTAGTCATTCAGCAGCACAGGCCTTTTTCTTCTTTATGTTCTGTAGTAGCAAGTCCCACAGAATAATAAGGGATAATTCACATCAAGTGATGTGAATCACGATGCACCATTGTCATTCAGGCTTCCAAGTAAAACATCTGAGGTGTAGTGGGAATTAAAAGCTATCTCCTGTCATGGGAAGGCTTTCTTCTCAGTGGAAACAGGAATCAGCTGAATCCCGCAGGTAATTCTTTCAGCTACAGAAATTACCTTAACACTATTTTGTTCCCAGTCAATCTCACGTATCCCCTTCCAAGAATAGCTTAGGAGAGCTTGATTGACAGAGCTTGGTTGATTTTGTTAGAGAAAACAGCTTCCTGTCATCTTGGAAAAAGGAGTTTCCTCTTAGGAAAATAAGAGTCTGATCCATTCTGAACTTGTACAGCTTGTATGCAAGGTAAAGTTTGGTGTTGTGTCTTCAGCCAAGGTGATTGAAAACAGTGATTGATTTCATAATATTTAGGGCCACAGAGACATGACTGTAGCTGTGAAATACAGTTATGGACAGGATATTTCTTGCTTAAGGATTGGTGTCAGTATGTATTTTGAACAGCTTTCACATGATCTTTGCCCCTAGCTTGTCTCTGGGAAAAAGCGTGCCATCTCAAAGGAACTCACTTCTTTAGCCTGTGAGGAATGATAGTTTCATAGAATCATTTAGGTTGGAAAAGATCCCTAAGATCATCAGGTTCAGCTCTTAACCCAGCCACTACTGTGTTCACCATTAAACCATGTCCCTCAGTGCCACACTTACATGGCTTTTAGCTACACCCAGGGATGGTAACTTCAGTGCTTCTCTGGACATCCTGTTCCAGTGCTTGACAAGCTGTTTGTTGATAGAATTCTTCCTAATATCTAATCTGAACCTTCTGTGATGCAGCCTGAGGTCATTTCCTCTTATGCTTTCACTTACCTGGGGGAAGAGACCAATGTCCCCCTGGTACAATGTCCTTTCAGGTTGTCGTAGAGGCTGATAAGGTCCACCCTGAGCTTCCTTTTTTCCCAGGCCAAACAACCCAGATCCTCACAAGAGTTGTGCTCCAGACTCTTCACCAGCTTTATTGCCCATTTCAAGTCAGTTTTGAGTCATTTACCATTTTTCCAGTGATGTTTCCTGATAAACCACAGGAAACCTTAGGAGATATTTGGCAACAAACTCTTGCTTATTGATTCATGTTCATTTAAATACTGGTTATCTGTTTCCACCCTGTCCATGGCCTTTATATTGAGGTGTAATTCCATATTATCCCTTGCTAAGCTGTATCTGTGTACTGTCTTCTGTCAGCTGTGCTGTTCCTTCCTTCTCTGTCTGAATCTTGCCTTGCATGAGATCTAGCAGTCCTGCAGTCAGAAGGTGAGTCCGATCGGCTTTCTAGTCTGACTGAAAACAAGTATCTCAATGCTTATGTCATCCAAGTTGATCCGGCTTGTGGCTGATGGTGGACAGATCAGAAGCAAGAGAAGCAGCAGGAGTTCACGTTTGGGGCAGGAGAGAGTGGTATTGTACCATTTCACAGCCGTAAGTTATGCTGCTCTGGATATGACAAAAATCCATCCTTAGGTTAATATTTGTTTTGCAGATTGGGATATTGGCTTACACACTGGTCTGTCAGATAGTTCAGGTATGAGTGTGTGCTCAGACTGCATCTCTTAACAGCTCTGTAGCCAGATTCGGGAAACTGAGGTGGTCATATGGAATGAGGAATGGAAGACTTGATTTTGCTGTCATATGCCCTTCAGTATAAATTAGACCTTGGAAATCTTCTGTATTGTGCTAGACGTCATGCAGATGGATAAGGGAAAGAGTCTCATGCCAACAGGTTAGAGCTCGAGAAAGCCTAGGCAGTTTCCTACTGCATGTCTGGAGTTGTCATTTACAGGTGATAGTCTTCAAAACAACCATAGCCAGATAGAAAGAGATTTTTCCATTTCTGTGCTTGTAAAGTTGTTGGGTCTCTTCCTAGTGTTCATCTCAACTTCATCTGACTGCTTAGATAATAGGTAGTGTCCTAACAGGTCACTTCTAATCTTATCTTTGGGTTGCTCTGGTTGGCCAAAATAGTTTTGGGAGCATTGGTAACTGTTACTAGAATGTCTTCTGTCCCTTAAATGTGTCAGCAATACCAGCTTTTCCTAAACAGTGTATTTGTTAGGATAAAGGTCTTAGGTTTGAGGTCTTTTTTAATCCTCATGCTCAAGGATATCATTCTCAGGTGCACCTTAGCGTGCTTTTAGATTATATTGCACTTTCAATACCTGGGGGATATTTCAGTTATTTTGACCATTCTTTCAGACTTGGTGTTTTTCAGGCTCTGCTGCTCACTTGTTCATATGGAGCTTGGCTGCAGCTTTCCATATTTGATTTTGATGAATGTGATGTCATCACTCTGGTCCTTTTAAGAATGATCTTATGATTGATTTGCCCAGTAGTTGTGCTGTAATGAGAGTTAGAAAGTGTCACTGTGAACCAAGGTCTTGCAGCAGGTAAAAGAAGCTTAGTATAAGATAAACTAGATCTGTAAATAGTTTATTCATGGTCTTACTATGTGATAATATTAAGGGAAAATACTTAAAGGGGCATCTTTCTCAGGAGACCTGTCTGATTTTACTAACCAGTTAAGAGTATTTTTTTGTCTTCCAACCAAGCATATTTGAAGAATTGTCTCAGACATCTGTAGAAATTTTGCACTCAGTAAAAATAAAAGCCCCAAAAGCATGACATTTTTTCACAGTAAAGGCAGGGTAGATTAATAGGTTTTTTTGTTCCTAAGCATTTTCAGTGTTGTAAACAGATTAAAGCACAGTTTTCAAATGCTTATTTTAAAAAACTTTTCTTTGAACCCATGGATATGCTTGAGTCCCATACATAGGAAATAGTGTTCCTTTGAGATCAATGCCTGGTTTGATCACACTTGCTTCCTCTTTCTTGCTGCTTTATTAAGTATATGTCAGTATAACCTTAATCACCTTTGAGTTTTTGATGTCTCATAATGAATTTTTTTAATTTTGCTGTACAAGCAATGTAGCATGGATCTGCTTTTGGACTCCTGACCTTATAACTTAGTGAATTTCCTTTTTTCTACCTTTATACCAAAAAAGAGAGTTTAGAGCTTTGATTTTCATGCTCTTTGAAAGAACTGGTGAGAGAACATATTCCCCTATTCTATGCATTCCCCTATTCTACACATTGTTGGTGTAGCAGTCACTTGACCCATTTTGCGTATTTGATAGCAGGCATTTTTGGTATATCAGTCACCCAGTCTGATAAAAATACCAACCTCTATTGTTCATTTTGCTTTTGCTATATGAAATTGTGACTTGTTGCACTATATTAGTAATGGCAAGAGGTACAAAACAGATTCTCTTGTGGCTTGAATAGGAGAGCAAGGTTTATTACCCCAGATCTTCTTTTGTAGACAAGTACGAGAAGGTCCAAAAAGGTAAAACTCTCACTGGTCAGTAAACTAACATGTCACAATCATTGGTCAGTGGGGTACACCACCCCTCGACCTTCTCTTGCAAGAAAACAAGAAACTGACAAACAGCAGCTGCAATCTTCTATATCTCTAAGGATTATTTTGATTCCTCCTTATGATTTCCCCGGCCACTTTCTCAGGCTAGTCTGAGAAAGTTATGTGACTTGCTTTTCCACAAATACTGTGCTTCCTGCTTGCTGCTTGCATTTAGCATCCACAGTGACTCTTGCTTTTTGTGACCCTTTACTTCCAGGAACATCCTACAAGAAGCTTCAGGCTTGACAAACTTGTTACATGTACTAAGCTTGTGTTACTCAACCCCTGTTCACTTTCTGGTTCTAAGACCACAACTGGTGGTAGTTGTGAAATTTATGTGTAATCCTAGAGTAAAAGCTCCACTCTTTCTGAAAGTGTTCTCAGATTAAACTTTTTAACTGCAAGATTTCCTCCCATGTCCTGGTGCTGATGAGATGTTTGAGTCACTGCTGGTGCACGTTTGAGTCCCTGCTCTCGGACTGCTCTTGGGAACTGCAGTTTTAGAGCCACAGCTCTGCAGTTTTTGTCATCCCTGTCTTCATTCTGTCTCCTCTTGCTCAACTTACTCTTTGAGACAAAGAAACCAGAACTGCATTGAGTGTTTAAAAGGCTGTTACATCATGGGAGTATGTATACATTAACAAAATGTGGTCCTCTGATTTATTTGTTCTTTTCTTGGTGTGCTCTGCTTAGCTATTGAACTGTGGTTCCCAAAGCATGATTTTTTAATCATTTTAAATCACTTTAATTTCTGAGTGGTGACAACCACACCTTTAATTCTGTGTGTAAAATTTAAGATTTTATTTTACAGCATGCATCATTTTATCCACGTTACATAAATACAATGGTGGATGACATGCATTCTGTCCTGCTGGCCCATCTGCACCTATTGGACTTGTAATTTAGATAAAGTTACTTGGTTCAATGTTTGCTGGACTGACTTTTTCAGTACTAACGGTAACATGTCTTTAAATCTGGAAGACTAACATGGAACATGTGGTATTTGGTCTTGCATGAGATAATAATTGCTAGGATAGTAGGAGAATTATTGCTACCTAAAGTGTTACTATGAGTCTATGTAGTCTAAATATACCAGGGTGTTTGTATGTCCTGTCTTCCCATTGCGCACCTAAACCTAAACAGAAGTCCAGCACCGGTACAAGGTACCTTTATAATGTGAAATACAAAATAAACTTTAATGTAACCATTGAAGATTAAAAGAAGTAACATTACCTGCTCCACAGTGGTAATTTTGCACAGCCCATTTTTGTACAGTAGTAATTTCTTCATGTATCTTGAGTGTGGATTTTATAGTTAGTGTTTCAGTGACTAGTCTCTGATGAAAAGAAAGCTTGAAAATTTCTCTCTCAAACAAGAAGACGGGTCATTCCTGCTCACTAAGTACGATTCAAATAGCTGAATGTTGGGAAAGTGTGTTGGAAAAACACTACTTTGTTAATAACTGGTCACTGTTCAGCAGGACCAGGTAAGCTTTTTCTCTGAGCCTATTACTGTTATGAATTTATTGAAATTGTGCCTTGTTTGGAGCCAGTCTGTTTCTTGTTCCACTACCTCATGATCCATGGTACTTCCTTTATAATTTTGGGGGCCTTAACACCTTTTAAGTTGTTTTGTAAATCCAGAGGCAAGGATTAGTGAAGGTCTCTGTCTCCAGACAGTCAGTTGCAGTGCTGTGATGTTTTCTGTCTTCCGTGCATCCCATACCTGTTTATAATGCAGATTCTGTGGAAAAACTTCATGTATGGAGAAATGCAAGAACCACAAATTGCTTTTATCAAATATACTATTATCAGCATGTGCATTCTTAATCTTTAATATGCACTCCATTTAGAAATACAGAGTAAAAAATTTACCTATGTGTCACTGCTTGTATATTAGTATGGTAGAAGAAAAATAATATGAATATAAGTGGTGCTTCAGTGGACTAAATGGTGCTTCAGTGGATTAAATGCTAAAAAAAAGAAGGTTCAGAAAGATTATTTGGTTAGGGATATCTTAAATTAACTCTTAGTGTAATTTGGTAGCTTGTTAAAATGCTTGCAAATATGTAACCAACAGTTTTTGTTTAATACTTAATTGAAAAATTTTTTTAGCACATTAGGTAGAATCATCAAAGTGACCCAAGAAGTGATTGACTACAGGGCCTGGATTAAAAAGAAGTGGGGGAGCAAAATTAATTTATCACCTGAACTTGGTAGGTATAGCAGGAAACCAACTTAAAATTTGTTCTTGAATTTGATGTAATTCAAAATACTCATGCCTTGAAATTAACCATTCAGATATACATGAAAAAAATAAAAGGAACCTGTAACTTTCTAACCCAATATTAGTTTTCTCTGAGCCTGTTTTTCAATTGGCTTGTTAAAGTGCAGCTCTTCTTAGACTTCAAGGCCCATGTGTTTGTATTGTGTGCTCTTAAATGATACTTACGTTTTCTGTTAACAGATAATAGGTTGAAAATAAGAGACCCAATAGCTCTCTGCAATGGAGACCAGCAACAGAACAGAGACTCTGATCCGTCTTACAGTCAACACTTGGCGTTGTCATTGGCCAGTACACAACAGTTATCTGGTTCTTCTGCCTCTTCTGTGTCATCGCTCTCCAGTAGTGACATTGTAAGTGTTTTCTTTTAATGGGTTAAACTAGTAAATATCAGTGATTATCTTCAAAGCCTCAATTGATACAATAGCAGTTAATGTGCTATTATCCCTTAACTACTGCAGCAAATCAGTAATGTCCCCTGCTCAGAAAAAATTACTAAAATAAAATACTTTTTTATTAAATTAAATGTGTCTTATTTCCATCCTAAATCTTTGGTACTCTTTGTGGTAGTGGTTAGATGTAATGAAATATAACAATGCAATTTAACAGTAGCTAATTTAGTAGAAGAATAGAAATGTCTTCATATATCCTTCCATTAAGCAAAATCATCCATTGTCAAATTCTGATCCTTGTTACCCATACATGAAATTGAAGATGAACATTATATTGTGCTGTGGAAGTGAATAATACTCATTATTTTCAGCCAGTCAGTTCACGTTTTAATGGTAACAGGGCACTTGCATAAAGTCTTGTCAGCTTCCTTATTTTAAAGTAATTGCTGGGCTTTATTATAACTTCCTGGAAGAGGAGGCTGCTGTCTCTTGAGATATGTTCCCAGGTTCTGCCAGGTGGTTTTGTTTTGGTATAAAGTTAAATCAGTGCAGATTATAAAGCATAGCACTGCAAGGCATGAGCGGCTCATTGTAAATCTTCTGAAGCATTTTATCATAGGTAGAGGCATTGATGAAACAAGATGTAATATGCAGTCAACTATGACAGTGAATAACTGGATGGTGCTAAAAGATGTCCAAATACTGGTTTCTTGGTTGCTTTCAAAAGCTAGTCAAATACAGGATCAAAAGTTGGGAATTGTATTCAATGAAAATTTAGCAACTTTTGAGAGAGAAGCACTTCCTATATATGTTCTGGTTACTTTTCTGTAATTACTTTACACCGCTGATTTTTTGGTGCTAAATTGTCTTTTTATGCCACCTTCAGTAAACGGGACAAATGTGTTAGTTTTACCATCTGGCTAATAAGCAAAGAACAGCATTATACTTGCCAGTGATACTATTAGCCATGCTCCTGGTTTAAGTATATCACTGGGAAGGATTTTGCTGTAATAAATTCTATGAAAAATGCAGGCATTTGCTTATTACATTGGGAGTGCACAGTATTGGGTGAGTCGTTATGAACTCCCCTTAGTCCTGTTTGGCCTGATGTTCAAGGTGAAACTTCATTACTTGATGCCAGAGAAATTAATGAAAAGTGAAAAGGAAGCTGTCAATGAGATAGAACTGAAATAAATTTTGGCATTCGGTAATAATAAATAGTAAAAGGAAGTGCTATGTTTTCTAACATAACCATGTTCATGTCCTTGTGAGAAAGGCCAGACCATATATTGGCATTATGTCCTTAGCAGACTGATAGCATGTTACCTTAATTTGGAGTGGAATGGCAGGTTTTTGACAAATGACTGATGAGTTCATCCTACTCTTACTTGGGCATGTGAGGAGGAGAAAATTCTGGCTGAGCAGTCCTGAGCTGCATCTGATTCAGGAAGAGAAGCCTATTCTGCCATAGTCAGGTGATCATGCTGTGATCTGGCATAGTGTTGTGCCCAGGTTGCAGCAGAGGAACATCTGTTTGGTATTTGTGCCAGAACTTCTGGTGCATTATTAATAGGCATGATGTAGTGAGCTTTTCTGTTAGCTTTAGAAGAAGGTAATTATGAATATAGTGTATCTCATCAACATAGATTTAGATGCAGTGTTACCTCTGATCCTGTGCAAGGATTGTTCTTTGGGAAGCAATCTGTATTTATTTAAAGTTAAATAATTTGAAATTTTCTTATACTGGAAGACTGAAAGCTAGGTATAGATTATAAAGAAAATGCAGGAGACAAGGAGACCTTAGAGTTACAGCTTGGTGACCTCTTCCCAATAATTAAGGTTTTATTTTAATAGCAAGATATTATTCCCTATGTCACTATTAACCTTAAGCACAAACTCTTAAGACACTGTTTCAGGAGGTGTATTGTTCATGACTGCAGAATATCTTTTCCTGTTTATGAGGTACAGGATCCTATCTGTTAAATTGTAGGGACTAGATAGTGTGTTTGCTTTTCTATTTACTGCTAAAGTTTCACTGGTAATAATGATCAACTGCATCTGGTCCTTTCTGAATTCTACCTACCAGTATAATAGAAGTCAGCTTACTTGTGTTGAGGAAGAGGAAATAGGCTTGAAAACTTGGGACATTACTTTTTCACATTGCCCCTCTCCAGCCATCCACTGAAATAGATGTATCTTGAAGTCATCACATCATATCACACATATTACTGGTGATAATTCTGGAGGCCTTGCATATATTTGTCAACATGTCCTGGAAACAATATGGAGTGTGCAGGTATTAACAGCAGTGCAGTATTGCTCACAGGAATCCTAAATTTTTTTATCAAACCCTATAGTTTAATAGTTGATTGCAATGCAGTGTGCTGTATGGTTTTTAAAGATTTGCTTCCTTGGAGTTCTTACAGCATTTCAGGTTTTGCATTAATAATCTGTAAATATGACTCAGCAGCTGAATAAATAATTGTTCTGGTGTCCTGTACTTTTGGGTCTGTCAGCTAAAGCAATGGTTATAGATTTATTCTGGCAGCAGGAGAACAGAACAATTACAAGGAGCATGTTTTTCTCAAGACTGGATTAACATAAACCAGAGATAACATTTAGAAGCCAGACTCTCAATGTCTGTATATGCTCAGAAAAATGGAAGAAAATAAGAGCTTACAGTTACTACCCTGAGTTCTCCATACTGGTGGCAACTTTTTAAAGATGAGAACTTAAGTAACACTGAGGAACAAGAGAACTGTCTTCTTAAAGGACAGTCTTCTCTTTCCCCATATATTTTAGATTTCTGTGCTTTTTCTCAGCAAACAATCTGAAACTCAGGAGGATGTTTGCTTTCATCTTTGCACATCTAGGACTAGCTTGCAGGAGCCACTTCTGGTCCACTGCCTACACAGCCCAAAATTAAGAACTGGATCTAATGAGACCAGATCATAATTTGAACAGAAGGTATCCTTTTATGGATTTCCCAAAGTAGCAAAGCTAATTACAAAATACCTTAGTCTAGCACTCTCTGACAAATTAAGTTCTAGCCATGCTGTCGTTAGTAGATGTTCTAACCAACTGCAAAATCTTAATCACAAAGGACAGCTTGTCAAAGGGCCAGTAAATTTTTTGATCAAAGACCTTGTGCAAGAGAAGCCTGTCTTTGGGTATCACCATAACTGTTAGCTGGAGAGCTGTTCAGTTTATGGGGTTGTCATTGTAAATGTCAATACAGAGCTCTGACTCACTCAGCAGTACTTCTAATATAGTTCAGTGAAAAATATTGAGTATTAAAATTCCTGCCTTGTTACCTCGGCTCTGTGAAGAATGTAAATATTAGTGGTCAGGAGCAAACTAAAGAACACATATGAAAAAACCTTATGGATATAAGGGATTTGGTTGTCCGAACATATTGGACCATTCATATATTTTTCTCAATTATGTTAATTATCAAACTGATCTATGTAATTGGTCTTCTCTCAATGAAACTTTCTGCTGATTTCAAATACCCTATGCTGCTCTGAAAAAAAGCAGGTATACTCCTCACCCCTGCAAACAGGTAAGTTGTACAGTATGATGCATTCCTACATGATCCAACAAATGTTTAAGTGAGTAATGGAAGGTGCTTTATAAATGTCTTTGACATTAAGGACAGTGCAAAGTATGTGAATTTTTACTGTGTGTAAGCCAGAGTCAAGCTGTTCCACAAAAGAAAACAAGCCTCTGGCATTAAAAATCTCACCTTCATGCTGATTTAAGTGATTGCTGAGAATCTGAAACTAGATGGAATGAGCTATGCTCATCCCCAGCTCTCTACTTGTTTTGTGTAGTTGCAGATGTCTGTCTCACATTCTAAGCAGTAACCAAATTCCTCTTGAAAATGCTGTTTTGGTTGGTTTGGGTTTTTTTTCTCTGGGTACATTTTTTTTTTTTCATTCTGGACCTGCAGTCTATATCTGGTGACCAGGATTTTTTGTTGCTTAAGCATTGTGGAAAAATGCTTTTCATTAGCTCAGGAAGTCCTAGAGTAGTGCTAGAGAATATCTGATTCCTGATCAATAGTGTCTGCCAAGTAGGAAATAATCCTAGGTATGTTTTTGCAGTCTCATTTTGGTCTGGTTTGATTTCTGGTGCTAAGTATGCTCTGCAGTTCTGATGATGTTATGCCAAATAAAGCTTAACATTTTATGTGACAGTGATGCCTGCATATCAGCAGCAGATAAAACAACTCATAGGAAAATCTTAAAGCTCCTTTCCGTTACCTTATGGATATATAATGTCATATCCAGTCCATCACAGAAACTCCAAGTTGTCTGTTAGATGTTTGATTCTAACAAATTTCATGCACCTTATCTCAGTATTTCTGGTGATAATGTAGTGTGGGCTTCTACAGTGAGGTAACTTTGTGAAGACCTCCGAGTTCTCAAGACAGTGCAGTCGTGCCAAGGTAGTTGAAGTTTCAGTGAACAAGAGATCTCTGTAGTCTGGCTTTGGAGATGACACAGTTCTTGCATCTCTTTAACATTTATAATACCTTCTTTCAGACTGTTCTCGAAATTTTAACTGTAACCCTTGCAGGATTATAAAAACCTTTAATCAGAATGTCAGTGCTTGATCTGTCCATGGTTCAGCCCCATCAGCTAGAGAATGTGCTGAGCAGAACCTTCAGTGTTTTGTGAATGTCTTTTTACTGTATTGAAGTATTACATATTCAGTACCTTGATTGGATACTTACATTCTGAGACTACTATATAAATATGACTGATAAGAATAAGAATCACTATTCTTATAGTTCTGCTGAGTGCACACAAGATCCACACTAATTTTTTGAACTGTTTACTTGCTTTGCAATAATTGTAGCTTAATACTTGAACTCAACATGCTTAATGGAGTTATCGACCATCTCACCTTTCTTTCTATTAGTGGGACCTATTGTGCTTCCATATTCACAGAGAGAG